TATCCCTGAAAACATAATATTTAAGAATGATATCACCAAATGATTTAGGATAATCATCGAACGCCTGAAATGCTAACAAATCATTTACCGGAATAATCATATCAAAAGTGATATCAACTTCTTCATTTGCATTCTTGAAAACTTCTGAAGGGTCAATATATTTACCACATACTGAGTTATCATATTTTTGAACATTATTATATAACGAATGAACAAACTTTTTAACTTTCCTTTCTGATTTTGGTTTATATGTTGCAAATGCGAAAGATTCACGGGCGCAATCCATCTGAAGATAACCGGCATCACCTCTTTCGGTTTCTACTTCTAATTGTTTAAAGCTTTGATTTGATGATTTGTAACCAACGAATAAACGCATGCATTTAAAAGCGGCATCACATGTGAAAGCTTTATTTGAAACTAGAGTTGCTTTAACTTTGCGTTTAATATATGTGTCACCTAATTGGTTCACATCATGAGCCGGATTTGTAATTCTTAAATGAGTTTGTTTATCATCAAAATATGGAGCATCAGAGTCATAGCATGAACTTTCAAGTTCTCTATAATATCTTCTACCGTCATTCTTTGCGAATATTTCATTTATCTTTTCGAATGAATGAAACACATTTCCATTAATCGGTTTAGTGTTTGGCACCAAATAGTTAGTCGTCATTTATTATTAAATAAAAAATCAAAATTAAAAGATGAAAATGAATTTTTAATTTTAATGAAATAATCAACTATGGCTGCAGGATTCTTTAAAAAATTATGGGATAAAGTAAAAAGAGGAGCGCATAAAGTTTGGGAAACATTGAAGAAGGGAGCAAATTGGATATTTAAGAATAAAGAAGCAATTAGTGACGTTGCTGAATCAATAACACCAAAAGCCGCCCCAATAAGAGAAGTTTTAAATAAAGGAGAAAAAGTTTATCAAAGACTTCAACCGATACTAAGATAAAAATAATATTTATTTTTCCACTATCTACCTCCTATTTTATTAAGTATTCCTTCAGCAATTCCACCAATTGCGTTACCTGCTTGTGCTCCCATCGCCGGATTACCTGCTTTAGTACCTAATACTCCACCTATGATAGTTCCTGCCGTTTTCGCTACTGGTGCCAAAAAGTTTGCAACGGGTTTAATAATATTTTTATGAACCCAACCTGCAGCTTTCTTAATTCCATCCCATAATTTTTTAAAGAATCCCGCCGCCATTTCTGATTTAATATTAATTAAAAAATATATTTCATCACTTATATTCTAATTTTTATTTAATGATAAATGAAACCAATTTTAAAAATAAATGAAACAGAGAAGGAGGAAATTAATGAAAGTAAAGATGTTCAACAAAAAATAAACATTGTTAAACCAATTACTGAAATAAAAATTTTTTCATCTGTTGAAGAATTTAATGACTATTATGCTAATAATAAAAAATTATTTGAAGAATTGACAACATGTAAATTGAATAAAATGTATAAAGTTGATGGATTCAAAATTTCAAAAATAAAGGGGGTGGTTAGTTTGAAATCTATTCCTCAATCAAGAATCACCTCATTAATGAAAATTGATGATTTAACAAAAAGAATAGAAGAGATTGAAGAAAGAATAAATCAAATAATTGATATCATAAATTCAAATAATCATTAGTTTCTTAAAGTTCTATGTTGAACTCATCAATTTCTTTTTCATCATTACCATTACTCTTTCAACTCTATCTTTTGATAGTCTTGCGTTTAATTTTTCGTAAGAAGTTTATTTTTTAAAAATTTTTTTATTTTTTTATTTCATTATGGTAGTGAATCTTTTATTCATGAAAATAATTATTTCTTTTACTCGTTTATGAGGTCTTTGATTATGACTCCATTGATTCCATTCAGTTCTTCAAAAATAATTAATTAATCGCGGAATATCTGACATCATCTATATATAGCTTCTTTTATAAAAGATAAAAAAATAAATTATTTTAAAATTAATGTCTTACATTTTTTAATGATTTATAAATAAATATATTTTAATGCATCGTCTATATATAGATGCAACAAAAAAAGTCACACAACCCTTCCTATCCTACTACTAGTAATCTAAACGTTCTTTTGCTTTATCATTGAACATATATTTTTCCTTTAATTGTAAAACAACTGTTTCTTTTTCTTTATTTGAAATATTTAAAGGATTATATTTCCATGATCCATACTTAAAATCATGCCTTTCAGTGGCTAATATTGAATTATCATAGTCATCTCCACCTTCATTTATTGTTACAGTATAAGAAATTATTGGTTGCTGCGAAAGGAATGATTGGACGTATTTTTCATTATTAATATTTTGTAACATACTGAAGAAATGTCTTTGTGAGAGACCCATGGTGATCATAAAAGTGACTACATCAATCACAATGAAAGTCGCAAACAAGAACATAATAAAGTTTAAGAAAATTTTAGTTTCCAGTTTTTCTTTCAATTTATTAAATTTCCAGATACTTCATTTTTAAAAAAACAAAGCTAATCAACATTTATTTATTGAATTTCTAATCTCCTTTTCATTCGTAAAGTTTCCTATTCAAAATTTTGATAAGTGTTTACTCAATATTGAAGCAGAAAAATGATAGGGAGACTTTACGTAATATGATGAACTTATTTTATTTTTCCTGAGACCACCTTTAAAATATATATGTTATTCAATTATTTTTAAGGGTGCACATACGCTCCTATGACGGGGCCTTCAATTCAGATGTTTAAGGTTAATTTTCAATGCCGCTTCACGCCAGTTGTCAAAAATTTGAATTAAAGTCAGACGGGCGTAAGTGCAGCCTTAATATTGGTGTTATTCAATTCGCTAAAAAGTGACACAATTTTTACAATGCTACTAATTGTTTCCTAATTGCAAGTAATGGCATAGATGAAAGAAACGTTTTGATCTACATTATAAATACAGTATTTTAATAGTCAAATACATTAATAAACTTTATTCATAAAAAAGTTTAGCAACTAAGGATGACAAATCGGAAATTGTTTTCATTTTAGGAGAAAATAATTTTCTTTTGGGAAAATATAAAAAAGGAATGAGTGAGAACAATATTGAGCTTAATGAAGTAAAATTGAATGACAAAAGGGGAAGTAAAAAAAATTGAAAAAGAGGAAGTAAAATTTGAATTCATTTCTTACGGAATTATTGTTCATGCAAATGGATTTTTTTTAGATTTAACATCATTATATATATATATATAGTATATTCTTATCTAAAAAGTTTATCTAATCAAATGTATTTTTTTACATCATACTCCCTTCAAAAGATATCCTTTAATTTCTCATTACCATATAGAATTTATTTCAGAGACTCCAATAATAAAAATGAGAATTGCATAAGATTAAAGAAATTCTATTGCAATAAGGCTATTTTTGAAAGACTTCAGAAATTATTTACTAAATTTTCAGGTGAAATATTGATTGCAATAGAATCCCAATCATTCTTGCAAAATTTTGAGCCAAGCTGAAATTTTGCAAGAATGATGATAATTATTGAGAAAATCTTGAGAAATGAAGAACATTCTCAGATAGACTCACAATTGTTCATATGAAATATGCTAATTAACATATTATATAAAATTATAAGTGAATATATATATATTCGATTTGAAATAGTCGTCAAAAAAAAAAGGTAGTGGGGCTTCCAGGGGCTGCGCCCCTTCTAGCCCTGAAGTTTTATTTGGAGGGCTTCCAGGCACTTCGTGCCCTCTAGCCCTGAAGATGTTTAGTATAAATGAAGTTTTTATTCGGAGGGCTTCCAGGAGCTTTTCACAAATTATATATGTTTTCATGTTTTGTCACTTTTCTGTCACTTTTCAGGAAAAAACATTTTTATTATTATATATAAATGAATTTTACAAAACCACCGTTACCGTTCTTTGGAAATAAGAGTAAATGTAAAGATATTCTATTGAGAGAACTTAAGAAACTACCGAATGGTCTAACATTTGTAGATTTGTTCGGTGGAAGTTTCTATATATCCCATTTGTGCCATACAATATTCCCAGACTCAAAGATTATATGCAATGACTTCGACAACTATATGGACCGTCTCAAACATATACCAGACACAAACAATATATTGAAAGAGTTAAAAGAAAAGATACCTATAGGCAAGATGGAACGTATACCATTAGATAAGAAAAATATTGTGAGAGAGGTTTTGAAAAAAGCAGAATATATAGACTGGGATAGTATATCTGCTAGACTATTATATAGTGGTTCTATAAGAGTTCATGACATTGAAACACTTATGTCAAAAGTTTTATATCTTAACTATACAAATGTTTTCAAAGAGGACATAGAAAAATATATTGAGGGTATAGAGTTTGTGAGATGTCATTGGACAGAGTTGTATGAAAAATATAAAGACAAGGAAAATGTTTTCTTTATAGTGGACCCGCCGTTCTATAACACATGGGATTTTCAATACCAAGTAGACTGGACTTTGAGAGACTCTTTAGAAACTTTAGACGTTTTACATCCATGCTTTTACTTTACATCCGATAAAAGTGGTTTGGAAACCGTTATGAGATGGTTAGAGGACATACATGACTATGAGTTTAGATATGACAAGATAGAATATGAGAGAGGTCCTATAAACCGGAAAAAGTGTCATAACAAAGAAATTTTACTAGTAAGTAAATGTGGTTTGAAATAGGACTACTTGTTTTAGGTTTTTTCCATTGTGTCATATATTTATTTGACGTGGCAGAAAGGTACAGAGAATATGAAGATGAACCAATGCCTGCAAATGTCCAGTATATGTACTCGTAAGAGATATTTTTAATATTAAATGGACGCACAGAACTTAGCGAATGCACAGCAACCTGGACAACCAAACCAGAGAATATTCCAAATGAAGTTAGAATACAAACTGCAATGGCAAACTATGGTCAAGTGCCAACAGATGTACAAATGCAAACTGCCATGTCAAATGACGCTGCGTTAGGTTTGCCACCATGGTATGCAAATATGAGATGGAAAGAGTTTTATACAAACCCTGAAGTGGGATATAAACAACTCTATGCAGATGACGCGAACACAGGAGTTGACCCAGAATATGTTTTCTACCAGAGGAGAAACAGAATGTATGAGCTCCAGTTAAAAAATGCTATGGAACTCAGAAGGAAACGTAAGAGACTAGGCGGACATTAGATTTTTACATATAGTAAAATGGGTTTCTTTGGAAGAATAGGAAACTTCTTTCGAAATGTTGGAAGAGGTATATGGAATGGAATAAAATCTGTCGGAAGAGGAATTTGGAACGGAGTCAAAAATATTGGTAAAAGAGTAGGTCAGTTTGTTGGTATTATACCTAAAGACCCTGAACCAGAAGAGCAAGCTCCTGTTATACAACAGCCTGAACCTGCACCACAGTCTAGTTGGCAACCAAATCCAACACCTCAACCGTATTAAAAAATTATATTTTTATCGTTCGATAGTAGTTGTATATGAAACTAAGTTCTAAGTAAAACGCATGGTATAATGGAACTATTCTCTTTCTTCCATCTGTTGTAAACCATACTTGAAAGTCTGAAATACTTCCACTCGGCGGTTCATATAGCTTTGTTGGTTTTTCGTAAAAGTCATTTGCCAAGCATAAGAAAGAGTTTTGTGCACCAGAAAATGAAGCATGAACGATAATAGCATCTGGGTCGAAAACATTTTCATATGTTCCATTAGGGTTTTCGACTTCATAAAAGTCCGGGTGTACTGGATATTCTGCAGGCTGATTTAACATCCTCATAAATCTATACCATGCCAAGTTGTTATATTTTGTAGAAATATAAACGTTTTCTCCAAGGTCTTCTATTCTATTGATTTTAACAGTTGCATTTTTCCTGTCATATATAATATCGAGATGGTACTCTCCTTCGTCAATGTTATACTGGTTTGCATATTCGATATAGATATCGTTTATTTTTTCTTGAAAAGCTTGAAGAGTTGTTTCTAAGTTTACAAGCAAATTCACTTGTAAAAGTTTTCCCTGTTCAAATTTCTCATACATACGTTTTTCTTTGTTATAGTATCGAACTTCAAAACCGACTGTAAATGGGAAACCATGTATGGCTTCTGAAATGAACTTCATTCTACGAAAGCCAATAGCTTTTGTGACGGATGGGTCTCTTAACCATCTTAACGGGTAGTCAAAACGATAGCCTTCATGCTTTACGGTCTCTGTCTCAAACTTTTGACCGACGTTAGTAAAAAGTTCATCTAATGGTTTAGTTGTAGCAACTCTTGAATTTTCTTTTTCTATTGAAAGCATATTTTATCTAGAATAAAAATGTCGAAAGAAACAGCGTCTATGAGAGAAATACAACACAACCGACAACTCATTATACAAGCTCTAAATAAGAACACAACAAACTTTTCAAACTATTCTAAGATATCTGAGTCATTGAAAGGGGGTGACTTAAAACTGACATTAAACCCAATGACAGATGAGTTTCTGTTTCAAGACAATAAGAACCATACTGTTTGTATAAATCCAACAAAAGGAACTTTAAACGAGAAACCTATAAATGAACTTCTTTTGAAAGCAGATGTTGACAACAAAGCTGACAAAACATATGTAGACGATGCAATAGCAAAAGAAGAAGAAAGAGCTAACAAAGCTTATGCAACAAAAGAACATACTCATCCTGAACTAGCAGACAAAACATATGTTGACAATAAAATGTCAAGTGAAGTGACAAGAGCTGACAAAGAATATTCTAAAAAGACTCATATACATTCTATATCTGATATTACAAACTTAAACGTTAGCCTTGAAAAGAAAGCAGATGAGGAATATGTGGCTAGTAAGTTAGAGAAGAAAGCAGATAAGGAATATGTGGATGAAAAAGATAACGAAATGAAAGAAAGGGTTGACTGGTACCATGAATGGACATCGAAGATTTTAAAAACTAAAGCCGATACAGGATGGGTTTCAGGATGTTTAGACCTTAAAGCAGATAAAACTTATGTTAACGATGAGTTAGAGAAGAAAGCAGATAAGACTCATACACATACAAGTTTTACAACTGTTGCTATAGAAAGTATTGAAGGAACGGTTGAAGAAACTGGTGGGGATGCATTATATTGTAAACCTCCTAACTTTCCACAAGGTTTAACATCGGATGACGACATAACGACGATGAGAAACATTAGATGTAAAGATGTTTATGTCATGAAGGATGAAAAAAACTTTAATTTCACTGCTCAAGATTTATATGAGAAGAAAGCAGACAAAACAGAGCTTCAAACATTAAAGACAGAAATACTTCAAACATTATATCCTATAGGCTCTATTTATACGTCAATGAACTCTACCAGACCAGAAGTAGTACTTGGTTTTGGAACTTGGACTCAAATAGTCGACAGGTTTTTGTATTGTGCAAACTCTTCAAAGGAAACAGGTGGAAGTAAAACGATTTCAGGTGAAAATTTACCTGCGCACAGTCACTACATAGATTTAAGTACATCTCAAGCAGGTTGGCATAGTCATAGATATTGGAATTGGTCAGCAATGACAAAAGGTAAAGGATATGATGTTAAAGACAACGTTAAGTTTGCTATAAATTGTTACTGGAGTAACACTGAGGGAGGAGGAAACCATACACATCGCGTTTCAGGGTATACGCAAACAACGGGACAAAGTAAAGACTACATGCCACCTTACATGACAGTTTACGCATGGTATAGAAATGCTTAGTCGTCATGTTCCACTTCTTTAGCATATTCGTCAGGAGTTGTCTTATATTTGTTAGGAACTGTCTTTGAAAGTATACCACCTTGAACTTTGACAAGTTTGAAACGAGGTCTGACAATAGTAGTTTTATCTTCTGCTTGCAGTCTGTACATTTTGCCATGTTTGCCTAAAACTTCATAATATTCTCTTGTATACTTTCTTCTATTTTTACGAACACGAATGTGAGTACCTGTCGGTTCCCATTGTTGTCATAGTCAATAGTATTTTCATATGGGTCGCGTTTAGGTATTTCTATTTTTACTTTGTCACCTTTCTGAAGTTTGAAGCCCGGCATTCTTTCTTGTTTGTCTCTTTTGACTAAATTATTAAATATATAGTCTTTCTCTAAGTCAGGGTTGTTTTTCATTTCTTCGGGGGAGTGGTTTCCCAAACCTTTTTGTTTACGGTTATTGTAAATATTTAAAACTTGTCTCATCTTTGCCATGGAGAAGTGTCTATATTTGTCGTCATATGACATTTCATTTGCTTCACCACCTTGTGGTTGGTTTAAGTCTCTTAACATTTTTATACAACCGTCAATGACACCAAGAGCAGAATGGTTTTGGTCGACAATGAAATATTGGTTTACATTTTTTGAACGCAGATAGTTTTTAATATCGTCTGATTTGAAAGAACTTTCACAGTCAGATGTCAGTTTTGTTGGATGGTATTTGTCAACGAATATTGTCAAAGCAGTTTTCACATCTAAAATATTTTTGGACCATAATGGTATGGCTTCACAGTATCTTGTGTTTTGACCGACAAATATTAGCCAGTATGGAGGTCCATCTTCTCTATACCTCGGAATGTTTTCCAAGATATCCATAAACCAAGCATTTGGTGTTGAACTAAAGATTTTTACCATGAGTGCTTTCTTTGTCGCTTTAGAAACATAGGGGTCCTTGTTTGGATTCGTCATTTTTATCCTATAAGAAATGGGTTTATTTGGCGCGTTAGCAGGAGTTGCATCTAGATTTTTACCCGCAGTGGGAACAATAGCCAGAGGTGTATTTGGAGTTGGAAGGAAGATTTTGAGTACATTAGGTATACTTAAAGAGAAAGCACAACCTATTATACAAACTGTACAGAAAGGTTGGGATGTAGCACGAGATGCAACAAATCTTATTCCAAATCCTGAAACAAGAGGAAAAGTTCAAGGATGGATGGACAATGTAGGAAGACAAGCAGGAAACTATTATAACAAAGCAAATGACTACTATAACCAAGCAGGACACTATATGGACCAAGGTGAAAGATTCTTTAACAGAGGATATAACCATGCACAACAGTGGGTAAACAATAACCAACCTCAACCACCTCAAACGTGGGGAATGTAAAATTTTTTACTGAGATGAAATGAACAATACAGCATTGAGACAAATGGGTTCAAGATGGATTTGTCGGCTTCCAGCAGTTACACAACGTGTTTGTCAAGTTCTTCCTATACCTCAGGAAGTTTTAGACCGACTTAAAAAACCTCAACAACCAGTTGAAAACAAACCAAACTAAAATTTTTTACTGAGATGAAATGACCGAAGAAGTTGAAACGGTAGATTTGACACCACAAACAAAAAGTTCAGAACCATTGTCAAAACCTGTCAAAGAACTTACAGATGAAGAGAAAAATTCAATAATAGAAAGTGCCAGGTCTGGAAATACAAACCCTAACTACAAAGTCACTTTTCATAAAAATGGAACGGCTAGTATCTCAAAAAAGAAACAGACTCTCACAAATAAAATATTGAAGTCTGAAGGAGCTTTCGAGACAACAGATGGAAAAGTTTACTTCACTGACCAACAGTTCATTATAGAACATCTCATTGACTTAGAGTCGAAATATTCTAAACTTTACAACAAACACAAAAAGTTGAAAGGAAAACAAAAACAAATGGCATATGATATTTATGAAGATGTTGACGACACAACTGTTCCTGCAGGTGAGGTAAAGTCAGCGGAACCGAAAAGTGACGAAAAACCGATAGAAGAAGAAAAACCAAAAACTGAAGATAAACCAAAACCAAAGTTTAGTTTCCAAACTAAACCAAGTCAACCTTCATTAGCTGGTATGGGTTGGCGTCAAAGACTTATGGCAGCAGGCGGTTATGTAAAGTAAAGAAAAAAATATTTTTTTTATTTTATTTGAAATGTACGCTGAGTTTGTTGGAGAAGACCGTTGGGAAACTTGTTTGTTAGATGAGAAATATGAAGTAAAAACGTTTTTAAAACAATATATTTTTACATATATTAAATGCTTCAGGTTGAAAAACAAAGAACAAAAGTAGTAGATACAAAACCGTTAGACTATATCTTTACAAATGCTGGTAGGACTATTTCAGATGAAGAAATTTCATCCCGAGCATACAGGTTTGACTATCCAATTCGTTGGCTTCAAAGTCCTTCAGATGCAAAGGCAATAGGATTTAGAAGAGTTTTGTTTTCAAATAGAACTAACGCATTTATGTTCGCAGTATATTTTCATGGGCAGTATAAAGGTTCTGATGGTCTAATAGACAAATTTGACGAAATGAGAATCTTTACAGTTCGTTCAGACGAAAGTCTTGAGAAAACTCTAAATGACTTTCAAACTCAAATGAACAAATACTATTGGGAATTTCAAGAAAAATACGACTCTTTACTAAATGGAACATACTATCTGAAACTAGAATATGACAAGATGAACTCCACCGTTTCATTTCAAAAGATTGAAATTAACCCTCCAAGAGATACAGAGTTTTTATTTTGGAAAGTAGACAAACGTTCTTGGGCACAATTTCTTCGGTTACTAAACCAGAACGAACCATTACCACCAGATGGTCCATTTAAATTTATACTTCCACCAGCAGATTTGACAGTTTATAGAAACGTGTTTGACCCTCAAAATGTTATGTGTCATGCAAGTTTCAGTTCAAGCAACAATAGTTTTCTAAGTATTGGTAAGGACTTTTATGACTTTGCTTCTAAATTCTACGAACCACCTAGTAACAGTTTCTCTGACTTTCAAGTTTGGTTCACAACAAATGGTGTGCAGCATATTATTCCATTGTACTATGACTTTTATCTCGAATTGTCTTTCATATACAACTACGGAAAAGTGCTGAAAAAGTATTGAAAAATAAAGTTTAGGTGGAGCCAGGTCCCTCGGTCATTTTAACTTCTCTGAAAAAGTGTGACAACATGACATTTAGACAACAGTCCAGGAAATAAACTTCTTCGTAAATGTTTTGTCAAGACTTCTTCGTACATGTTTTGTCAAACATGAACGTATATGTTTTGTCAAGACTTCTTCGTAAATGTTTTGTCAAACATGAACGTATATGTTTTGTCATGACTTCATCGTAAATGTTTTGAAGAACTGAAGGTGCTACCATGTTACCATGTGCTACCAGGTAATTTTAACTTCTCTTAAAATTACTGACAACATGACATTTTGACAACAACACAGGAAATAAACTTCTTCGTAAATGTTTTTGTCAAACATGAACGTACATGTTTTGTCAAGACTTCTTCGTAAATGTTTTGAAGAACTGAAGGTGTCACCAGGTCCCTCGGTCCCTCGGTCATTTTAACTTCTCTGAAAAAATGAGACAACATGACATTTTGACAACAGTCCAGGAAATAAACTTCTTCTTCGTAAATGTTTTGTCATGACTTCATCGTAATGAGCGTAAATGACCCAAAAATATATTTTAGGTGAGATGGTTAGATCTCAGAACTAGTCTTGTACTGTTTCAGAACAATATTTGTACTGTTTCAAGACAATATTTGCACTGTTTCAGAACAATGTCCGACGTACCACCAAAAAATATATTTTAGGTGAAGTGGTGAGATCTCACCTCTTTTCTCACCTGTTTTTTCACCCGTTGAATTTTCATGAATTTTCCCGAAATAAAATAAAAAGTTGGTTTTTTAAAAAAAATATTTTTTATTTTTATTGTAAGAACTGAAATGACAGTCGAAGCAAAAACGTTCACGAACAAATCTAATGGCGAAACATTCACAAAAGGCACCTATAACGGTATTGAAGTCTTACGTAGAGACAAGGATGGTTATATAAATGTAACAAATATGTGTCAGCAGTTTAGGAAAGACTTTAGAAAGTTGTTGGAAAATAAGTCCTGGGAAGAGTATTATAAGGCATTTTGTGAAGAATATACCAACCGCCGGAATTCCGGCGGTTGCTTTTTATACAAAATTCATGCAGGAATTCCTGATGAAATCAAACAGGTTAGAGGAACGTATGTAGACCCAAGACTTGTAAACTATATAGCAATGTGGGCTTCTCCAAAATATTGTATAGCAGTTGGAAAAATTATGGACTCCATAGACAAGAAAGTTCATGAGAAATTAGATGAAGAAGAACTTGAAGATACAGTAGAGAATGCTAAACCTTTGTTCGAACAAGAAGTTAGAAAAATGTGCGAAAAACAAATAGAACATGAACATGAGATGTGTTATGGTTATAGAGACTCTCCATACGAACTAGACCAATGGGAACAAGAAGATTTAAAGAGAGAATTTAGAGAATATGAACTCGCTAAGATAGCATTAGAAGCTGCAGCAAAGAAGTTAAAAGTTTGGGGTCGTTTTGTACAAAAATATTGTGAGTAAATGAACCATTTATTTTTATTGAATTCGGCAAAAATATATTTTAGGGTAGATGGTTTTTAGGTGTCACCAGGTCCCTCGGTCCCTCGGTCCCTCGGTCATTTTAACTTCTCTGAAAAAGTGTGACAACATGACATTTTGACAACAACACAGGAGGAAGGCAGTTATGACTTCTTCGTAAATGTTTTGTCAAGACTTCTTCGTATATGTTTTGTCAAACATGAACGTAAATGTTTTGTCAAACATGAACGTAAATGTTTTGTCATGACTTCTTCGTATATGTTTTGTCAAGACTTCATCGTATTCTTTCACCCGTTGAATTTTGTATAAAAAGCAACCGCCGGAATTCCGGCGGTTGG